AAGGAAGGAACGAGCGGAGGGAGGAAGGAAGAAAGGAAGGAAGGAACGGAGGGAGGCAGGAAGGAAGACAGCAACGACCGGAGGGAGGAAGGAAGGAAGAAGGAATGCACATGTACTCATATACATATACTATTAAAAATCTGTTATCTACGTTGTAGTATAGTATGTTATTTGTTAGGAGCCTAAAGTTGTTTAGGATAGTACTTATATATGTACACGCACACAGATATGTATGTGTATATATACACAAGGCATGTATATCTTACTTTTTGTAAATTTTAGACTAAGTTCTTTATAACGTTTATATATATATATATATACTCTGACGAAGTGTTAGACGGCCGCGCGGCTGACAGACCTCTGAGACCGCGCGAGAGAGAGAGAGTTACTTTGAACATCTCACATGATGTTCATGAGTTTATATACATACCATGCGTGTATATATATATATACAGATACGGTACATTACAACATTTCATGCGATTGACATCTTCTGCATGAGTGCGTAAAGTGCGTGTGTATGTGTATATATATATATATATGCAGTGCGACGCTTTCTGTATATATACATATATACACATATATACACATACATATTTATGTGTATATATATATATACACAGTTTTAGCAATTTTAGTACATATGCTTTTATAACATGTATATATACAGAGAGAGAACGCATATAAGAGTTCTTCTTACCATATACATATTGCAGCAGATGTGACGGCCTATATATGCATACATGTTCTTTACTTGCTATACATACTGTTCACGAATCGAATACCACACTATGTACACCATATGTGCATTACAAATACCTACATGGTACACATAGGACGTTTACACTGAAGCTTGTCCTTAAAAGGGTCGGAAGGGTTTCGCAAAGAGCGGCTTCTGTAGGGACTCCTACCCCTGCTTATACAGCGAACAAGTGTACTGCCTTAGGAAACCCCACGACACCGACCCCTCCCCCCCTTCAACAAAAAGTGACATAAAAATATTAAAAACAGCGCTCCGCCCGTCTTCTTCCTAGATCGTCTGGCGAGCCATTCATTGACAAGGTGCAGAGACGTATTTTCTGTAGAGGACAGCCTCTGACAAACAGGTATGGCGACGAGGCACTGTTGCGCTTCGTGCAAGACGAGTTAGATGCCGCACCCCAACCGCCTACGACAAGGACTCGACAGCCATTGTGCGTCTTGCGCCGTGGGGTGTGTCGGGGTCTGCGTGGGTTTCCAGGGCAGTCTTGCCTCTTGCGCTTGGTCACTGATCGGCCCCCGCAAGGTAGCAGGAAATCGTGCCAGACAGAGCTCCTACCTACCCTGGTTTTTTGGCCTCACCCTGCAAAGATGCTCACACCTAATGCTTGCATCACTGCTGACCACGAAGGCGGCGAAAGGAGAAGAGCGACTTTTTCAGAGATTTCCTCGGACGAGGTCCAGACGCTGAGGACGCGAACACGAAAAGCATCGCGAAGCAGGCTAGTGAGACTCTTGAGATAAGACCATGAAGTCTCCCAATAGACATCGAAGGTTACAGACTCCTACAAAATGCGAGCAGCCATCCGAAGTAGGGGCTATAATTTAGGGACCCAAAAAGAACATAAGCATAAGCTTGTTATAGGGATATCCCTACCTTATTGGGCTTCATTATAAGAGGATGTATATGGGATATCCGGATCCTAATTTTTGCTTATGTGCTTTTTTTTGGCCCTAATAGTTGTTGGAGGTCAAGACCGGGGCAACACTAGGCGCTGTTGCAGGTGCTGAGCCTCATGGCGTCCGCGCGCGCACCCGAAGTGGCGGAGAACGGCTGTGAAGCTTTGAGAAACCTTGTGGTGGATGAGGAGACAAGGTTCCCCTGCAAGCTGTAAGCATCACTTGTGGAACGCATGCCCAATCCTGGGAAAACCAACCGCCAGAATGCTGCATAATAAAAGGTGCTGCTCTTTCTGTGAAGGTCGTTGGTGTCCGGGCTTGGAGCGATTGACATGGTCATGGACGTGCCTGGGTCATACCAGCCGAGTGTTGAAGTGTTGCGCAGTGCAGACTTTCAGAAGCAGCGAGAAATTGATAGCAAATCTGGCATGCTAGCAACACCCGGACAGAACCAGCTCCAGGACGGTGAAACTTGGAAGCCTGTACTCGTCTAGGGCTAGGGTGCGCCCGCTCGGCTGCCCTCAACATTTTGGACTTGGACTGCCACCCGCTGTAGTCATAAGTCCTGACGCCCACGGCCACGATCCATGGGGAGCTCCAGGTCCGCAAAGGGCAGGGTCCTCGTGCCTGTCTTGCTTGCACTTGAAAGTCTCAGGTGATGCAGAGCCACAGCGACTCCTTTGGTGTCCAAGGCCCACGGGACTTCACGGGTCAGCGTATGGCAAAGCCAGGCAAATCCTTCGTGTCGGAATATCAGAGCAGGTCATTGTGCCGGTACTTTGACCCACCTCGCAGCGGGATCTGCCGAGCGCGAGGCCTTCCGAAAGACTGAAGCCCTGGGGTCGAGACGTTCTTCAGAAAACAGACTCGACAGAGCTTTTGATGCTGGCATCAGCATGCCATGGCCAGGGGCCCGTGACGCAGCTGTCTTGGTAGCCTCAGGCCCATAAACGCAATCTGTATCAATAGCCTCAGATCGATCGTGCTCGTGAGATGCGAAGCCTTGAAGGCTTCTCCATGCGCTTGCATCGCAGAGCCTGTGGCAGGCCATCTTCCATCGACGTGGCCCGGAACTGGTGCCTTTTTTGGCAACAGACAACATGTGCTGGCACCTCCGGTTTCGTTTCTTGCGGACCAATGCGCAGATCCTTGTTGTCGCAGCCTTCAGCCTTCGATGCTGAAATTTTGAGATTGCGTGTATTGCCGCAGTGCCGCACCAGAAAGTCCCCACGTTGCTTCTACGCGTGCCTCTCCGAAAGAAGGTGTCGAAGCCACTGAGGTGGTCAAAGCCATGCGAAACCACAGAGATGTACCCCTGGTGCAATGGAAGGCTGGCCGTTCTCAGCTGTGTGTATCGCCGGACATTTGTTCCTACCGCATTACTTTCATCTTCGGATGCCGCGTGAGGGATTAGCACAATAGAAATCATATACAATGACCCACCCATACCCACCCAGCAGGATGTGCAATTTTCTGGTGTTGGAGAAGTTAACTCCAATCCGCATGACCATGCCAGACTCAAACCTGAAAAACACATCTATAATGCTGAGATGCTGTTGTGTTTGGAACTGCCGACTGCTGCTTTCCTGATGGATGCTCGTTCAAGGAGGGGTTGGTCGTTTTGTAGTTTTGGAGCTTTTGCTCTTTTTAACACCCGAGCACGTGCCAACAAACAACTAAACAAAATTATTCGTATATCGATATAAGTATAGTATAGTATATATATATATATACACACACGTACACACATACATACATACATACATACATACATACATACATACATACATATATACATTCGTATGTTTTTATGTGTGTACATATCCACACATGCATGCAGACATACATACATTGACTTGTACATGGAGTCGTAGACGCCTGCCAAGCCACCCTGATACATTGGACACCACAGCTATAAGCCGCTTCAACCTCCGCTCACAGGGCTGTGCAGTCCTAGCCAACCTGGCAGCTTCCACAGCGGAGCAGTCAAGTGGCTGCACTGCGAGGTTTTGGCGGCACACTTTGTTCGGGATGCTCAGCCTTCGGAGTTCGCTTTGACGTAGCGGAAAAGGTGTCTTCAAGTCTGTCCATGACACTGGCCATGCGAGCTGGAGTGACAATTCATGCTCTCCCATTCGAACTTGGCATCCTCAGCACACAAAGCCACATTTTTGCTGTACTCCTGCTGCCACATACCGAACGCCTTGACGAGGATTCGTGTGGCTACTGCTGGTGCTGCCAGAGCAGTGGTACAGGGCTCCATGGCCGAACATCGAGATCGTACTACTTGCATGCACTTGAGCGCCACAGCAAGTGGGCCGCATGGCGGGCGCGTAAAGCGTGACTAAGACTAAGTAGCAGATTGCAGCAGGTGCGGGCGGAGCAGGTTGTGTTGGAGTTGTCCCAGCAGGCAAAACGTTGCCAACAGTGTCTGCTCAACACGCTTCCCTGCTTGCCTGGAGGCCTTTATTGCACAGTGGTTTGTATGCTTCCGAGGCATGGCGAATCACGAGGACGAGCTGCTGAGCTGATGAAAGCCAGGGGGAGCACAAGCAAAGCAACGAAGGTTGAAGCTAGTGATTCCTTGCGGAGTTGATAAACCCAAGCGGGTAGAGTGTGCTAGTGCTCTGCATTTCTCGAATTTCTCGAAGCGTTAGAAATGCCTTGAGCACGAAACGACCTTCACGCATTCTTCGGCCTGCCCACTAAGGCGGCTGGTCCAGGACTATTGCATTGGCGCTCTCTACAATCTGGCCAGGGTCAATGCAAACATGTAGCTTGGCACCAGCAAGACAGTCGATGATGTGTAGGTGTTTGAGAGAGTTGTAGGATAACAAGTTGGACTATGGTACGGAGCGATTTGTGCTGGCCAAGGAACGAGCTTGCAAGAGCCGGCAGCGCCAAAGTTGTGCGTACCGCCCTGCGCAAGCATCCAGATGCCCCGACCGTGCGAAAGGTTGGGGCAGAGTTGGTCCAATCCTTGGAACATGACTCCTGACACTGCGGCAGCCTCGATGAAAGTGCAAGCATCCCTGTAAATAGAGTGAGGTGTAGAAAGTTCGCCTCAGCCGAAACAAAGTCCGGCTTTCAATGTTCGGATGTGTCCCTGGACCCGTCTTTGCTTTGCATTGACGTGCTGTGCAGGAAACGGAAAAAGCTGTGCCGACACTTTTGGTGTTGCCACCTTTAGCAACTGCTGACAGGCGGCCAAAGGTTTAGATAACTTCTAGCCGCTAGCCATTCTCTCCCGATGTGCAGAGCTCCTGGTTGTGAGCCCGCTTCCCCTGATGTTGGCCCCTGAGCGTGCCCATTGCAACTCAGTAGCTGCTTGTGGATGGCAGGGTTTGGGCCGAGAGGATCCCTGCGCGTGCCGCACAGGCCGCCGAAGAACGTAGTTAGAGCAGATTTGGGCCGAGTCTGCTTTGGGTGGTTCTGCGAGTTTCAGGCTGTGCTTTTGTGTGACTTGGGACATCTTGGGACCTCTTTGCGTTTGCTAGAGGCCAACGTGAAGACAGTAGTTTGTGATGCAAACCCGTGTCTGCGAGCATACATCGAAATCCCTTTTCAGATGTTTAAAATGTGTGAGCAGAGGTGTGGTCGGCTGTGGGCCGTGTTCCGAGCTGCTGCTAATCCAGAGCTCGCCTGCAAGCATCCATTTCGCTATCGGTGCATGAAGCCGCGAAGACATAAGCGGTCGGCTCTCCTGCGGTTGCGTGTCCCCAAGCAGCCTGAGGTGAGGAGGGTTTGGCAGCTTCGGCCTGGCTGCCAGGCCGGAACCTCGCACAGCATGCAGTTCGACAGACTCCCGTGGGAATGCGTGAGAATGCAGCCTCTCCGATACTGGCACAAATGTCGCTGGAAGTCGGCCGCGGAGGCGGAGAGATCACAGGCTTTCTGCAGCTTTCGACTGGGGCAGCTGTGGAGGTGGGGCTGATTGCCGAGGTTAAACCTCTGCATTAGCTTGACGGCAGAAAGCCGACATCAATATGTCATAGCATGAAGGCTAAGGAGGTAACGACGAGCAGAGAAGAAGTGCGGGAGCTGAGTCGTCGCTTTGGCTGGGAGGTCATGCCGGAGATGCAGCGCATGCAGCCGCGCCACAAGAAGCAGCAGTTCTCAGCTCTCTCGGTCAGTTTTGTGGTGTCCTTGCTGGCTGGTTTAACTTGCGAGATCCGTAGATTTGAGGGTTGCTCTACAGTATACATGCGATGGGTTGTACTCGACAATCATTGTGTCCGGAGCACAGTTCTCAAGCAGACCTATTGCTTCCGGGCTCATACTCCAGAATCCCCAGGCAACTCCGAACATGCTTCTGCCTCCCCTACTTCATCCATCTTCTGTCTAAGTCATGTGGTGCTATGCAGTCTTTGACAATGCTAGTTGGGGCATCAGAGGTGTCACTTTGAAGGATCTCGTGCGAAAGGCTTGACCAAGACCTGGCATGCTGATCCTGCTAGTGGCGCGTTACCTGTACTTGTAATACAGGATTCCGACAAGCACGAGCAAACTCCAACCATCCATGACCTGAGATTCTACGTCTCGCTCGCGTTGCAGCCCCGGCTGCTGGACGGCCGGCAGGGGGGGCAGTTGCGGGCGTACCCGAAGATGTGGCTTGAGAGGGTATAATTGCCAAGCCTTGCGCATGACAGCTACGTCAAGCTTCTTTATCAACAGATGTATGAAGCTTGAAGCAGGCGGGATGCCTTCAGCACTTGGCAGACTTAACACTTAATCGTACTCCTCGCCGACCTGGTCGCGCACGAGTGCTAAAAAACACTTAATCGTCAACGGGTCAACGGATGGTCGCGTTCCTGTGAACGGGGATATTCGTGCCTCAACACGTTTACCACAGAACATTCGACGCATGTCTTGGTTGCTCGGGCAAGGGGCTTCAGACTTAGACTGGAAGTGACGATTGAAATGTGGCCATTTCTCTCGAGAACTGCCAGTGCTGCGGAGCAGCCCGTGCAGCAATCCTGCCGCATGCTGGACTTCAGCGTATGCAGCTGTAGCGCACCCAGGAGGTCTAGTCAATTAGTGTGTTATCAGCGTTGGGAAGCCCCACACCATCATGAAGGCTAATTAGCACTCATTCGTTCTGCCTCGTGACACAGTAGATGCTTAGCCTCTGACACAGATCAGTGGCACGTGGATGGCACGAAGCTCCACCGCTGACGCCGCCCTTCATCTGCCAGGGCTTTCAACCGCGAATGCGGCCTCTTGGCCTGAGCGGGGCGGTGGCGGTATCCTTGTGCCGGGGTTTGAGCTTCGCGAGTTTTCAGCCAGCACTGCCAACATGCATCTGTCACATGCCGGGCTGCAGCGGCATGGCAGCAGCATGGGCTTTTCCGTCCACTGCAAACATCCACCCAAAGTATCTTTGCGTGATTGAACACTTGGCTCCGGGACGGCTCACGGCGATCTTGCGAGAGTCCTCTATCGTCGAGCTGCTGCACAGTACAGTAGGCGTTACAGATGCCAGCCTAGCAGCCGACGTCTTGGAGCCTGGCTCAGCTCTGGTTGTGCATTTGCACTATCGGAACAGTTGTAGTTGCATGTGTATTAACACTTGCACACATGTTAAAGTGGCCCTGTGTTATTGGTCGAAAACAAGTATATAGCTATGGCAGTTCACATCTGTCGGCAATGTGCCTCCCATCCTAACAGCCTCAAGACACACAACCCAAAAAAGCCCGCACAGTTGCAATTGCATGGGATGCCTTTGAGTTGCTTGCGGTCCAGCATCGTACTTGAGGAAATTGCTGTAGACACCACAAGAACGGCTGATTTTTGCAGAATGACAACAGGATGCGGTGAACAATGCGCAGAGGTCCCGGTGAAGTCACAGAGCACGAGCCCGTCGAAAAGCAAAGACGGGCAGCGCAGCAAAGATCGGTCACAAAGCAAAGACCGGCCAGGCAGGGCTGCATCGAATCTTCAAAATTGGCAAGTTCATGGCCCTGAACTCTGCGGATTCTAGCTTCGAGGGTCTTATGATTCAGGGATGTCCGCTTGTGAATCGAGTTGAGATGCCCAATCATTGCATGCATGTTGGGCTTGGGGGCGGGTTGAAAGGTTCGGTTGCCGTGGCTCGTTTGTCATTATGTAGGCCGTATAGCTGCAGAACCCACTCTCGTCTCAGGTTTCGCATTGCACTTTCGTGAGGCACCTCTCAGACGCAGACAAGCAGCGGTCCGAGCCGACACTCATCGTTGCGGTCTAGTGGGCTGCTGCGTTGCACAGACAGATTCGTCTTGGACCGTTGCAACTGCGAAGTTGAAACCGCCTGGCGAGAGTACACTTGTAGACCTTCCAGGTCAAACACTATTGATTGGAGACTGAATGCCTCAGGGCGCTTGTTTATCCAAGACGCTTCCGCAACTCATTTCATCACCGCTCTTTGAGGCCTGATTGCAGTAATTAGGTCATGAGCACCCTGCCAAGTTTCTCCTGGTCCTGAGATCGGGAACCGAGAAGATGATCCCAGAGATCCAAAAAAAACAAGTTCTGTCAAACCACAGGAAAAAGCCGTGAAGCCCTGCAGCTGCCAGCCAACATGAGCTCGTCTAAGTTCGTCCACCAGAACTGTCAGACAAACACGCAGACCTCACTTGGCCTTTCCGAGTCGTTGGAGACAAAGAACCATTGCAAGAGCATTTTACATCCAACGTTTAACAACCAAAAAGTGCACCAAACCCGCAGGCAGCACTTAAACGCGGAACCCTCCGTAAACTCCTGTCTGTTGTTTGTTGCTCTTCGAAAACCCCGTGGGAGGTAGTGGCGCAGTCCCCTCTACCATCTAGAGGCCGATGCTATGCCGAAACTGCGAGGGCCCCTCCCGAGGTCCGGAACAGGCTTGTAGGACAAAGAAACCCTTCGCGGTACTACGGTTTTGTAACCCAGAGGCCCTCTCCGGTACAACTTCTGTCACCGTTATATTATAAGACTCTGCAGTTTCCCCCGAGCCTGCACGGATAGGTCGGATTGTTTCAGCTGGCGTCTCAAAGACTCGAAATCCATGTGACGAGGGTGCACTGACCGGCTTGACCGGAAGCCTTCCCATCCGAGGCTTGATACAAGTCGTCGCAGTCTCTCGGCTGGGACAACAACGGGTTAGCTTCCTGCAGATTTGAGGTTGTGGCAGTTTCATCCATAAAACCCACGAAGCTTGCAACATGCTGGAGGCAATCGCAACGAACAAAGCTTGCCGGAAACTGCTCAAGAAGCCAACTTTGAAAGCCCTGCTGCCATGTTGCTAGTTCAGGTCCGCGGCTGAAACTAACATGCCCAGACACTTGGCTGCTGTGAAGGATAGCTAGTTCGATCTATGAGCATTCGGTGTTGTTTCCCGGACATGCCTGGGCAATCACGAGACTCATAAGTAGGTTTGTTTTTGCTGCACCTAGTCCTCCCTTGCAATCTCTCGGATTTGGGACCTGTTCATCGTGGCGTTCGGCTCACCGATTTTGGTTGATTTCATTGATGTTGCTGTCCACGCATTATATGCTCAGCTGCCGCTTATCTGACATGAGTGTGCTGCAGCATCGAGTAGGCATCCGTTTGGCATGTTTCGATCGTATGCTGGCCAAATCCAGGGCTTGCGGTGAATTCCTGAAGTTGTACAACTATGTAGATTATGCGGGTGCCGAGCATCAGGCGAAGCGCCGCACGGTCAGCGAAAGCCAAGCCCCGAGCTAGATCGCAAGATGCCAGGTGAAGCTGCCCAGCCTTGCCACATCAGGGGGAAGAGACTTTTCGCCCTGTGACTGCAACTCCTGTTTGCGACTTTGAAATGTTGTGGCATTGAGTGGGATTGGAGAGCTTTTCGGTCAAGACTAGGGTCTCTGCTTTAAAGTCCCCACTGCGCATGCTCTTCTTCTGCGACAGACGCTTTGTCGCCGCGCGCCTCGCAAAGCCTGCAGCATCGAGGGTGTGCAAAGCTCGTGGGCGTAAACGGCTTGCAGATTCAAGAGTTGGATTACGAAACGACGCTTTGTTGTTCTAGTGTCACCGACGGCAAAGCTCCCCGAAAGCTCGCGAAACTGACCCGGCCTGTTTCCAGGCCCCGACCGCCCCCAGTCAGCCGACAAGGCTCGCTCAAGGAGCGAGGATGCTTCAAGCTTTGCTGATAAACCATTTCGCGGTGATGGCAAATGATTTCGCTGCAGTTTTCCAGCAACTCCTGATCTGAGCCGGACTTTGGCGTTAGTCCCTGCGAGGAGTCTCAGTCCAGACAGACGTGGCTCAGCTGAAAGAGACAGCGCAACATCTTCAGGCAAGGGCCAAGCTAGAACCGAAAGCTTTGCGCTTTAATGTTGGCCTTGCGCCCCCACCTTCGCCTAAGGTCGGGGTAGGTTTCCACACGTGACTAGGCCCACCGTGGTTGCCTGACTAGGGCGCCGGTTGAGAGACTGTGTGCAATAAATTCGGCCTCGCCGGTGAACGCAACCGGCCTAATGTGAACTCTTGAATAATTACCCCCCCCCACCCCCGCAAGGTAGGTCGGCCGGTGGCCCAAAACGCAACCCACCCCCCAAAATAAACTTGAATTCAAACCAAAAGTCCAGCGGGAATCCCAAACCCACGACAAGCCTGAAGACTAGAATTAAATTGGAGGCTTCATTGATGGGGGGGGGGGGGGTTTGGCAAGGGTCTATTTTTTCAAGGGGGGGGGGGCTCTGGTGGAAGAGGCCAGCAGCGGCCAGCGCCTTTTAAAACAGGGTTTCAGCCACGTCCGAGGCTTCCGCGGGTTGCCATGAATCGCAGGGAGTGCATTAATCAAGAGTTGACATGAGGATTGGAAACAATGCGACTGTAACCCCAAAAGCCACACGGTAGACCTGCTCGGCTGCAGGGCAACAGAGATCAACAACACCCAAACAAGAAACTAAAGAATTCCTTCAATTGACTCTCGAACCCTTCTGTAATCCCGTAATTCTCGCGGGGGTCTTTGAGATATTTTGAGTTGGTATGGCGTTCCTATATATGCCTGCGTGCGTCAAGCACCATTGTTCGCAGAGCTGGGTATAGCAATTCGCTGGTTCTGTCGACAAGCTGGTAGAAAACCTGCAGCACACTCATTATTTCCAAGAGCGCATTGTATCAATCTCCGTTGTTTTTCACGGATCTACCGCAAGAGCAGGGCCTCAGTCTTGGCGAGCATAAGCGCAAATAACACAGCAATCATGCGTTACCCACTGTGTTTTTGATTCAGCTGTCACTGCCTTAAGAAGTCGTCTGGAGAACATTGTACAACAGAATGTGTTCTTGAAGCGGGTGCAATTCAATCAATCTTCAGTCCTTGCTCTGTGGAAGTTTGCCCATGCTTCTGCCTTTGCTCGCATGCGCGGGTAGAGATGTGAGTATAGACACTAAAAACTGACTGACTATTATTATTATTATTATTATTATATAATTCGTAATACATACATGCACGCATGATACATTTGTATATAATCACGCGTTATATTTATACAATTGTTAAATTATGCATTGGCACGTGCCAGCTGACTGACTGACTCAGTCTACCAGAACTCTACTAAGTTCA